TTCTTGTTTAGCAATCCAGGTTTTCTCCCCCTGCGTACCAAATGGCTGGGTCCTTCATGCTGTGCTTTTCTGAAAAGCTGACCTAGATTGCTCTGTCCTGATATTTCTGACTCCTATTTGTGTGCCTGTACAGAAAAGACAGGAGCCCCCCCCCCCCCCCCATTTATGGGTCAGTCTGCCAATCCTATCAGAGAAAAGCAAATTCCCCTTGGGCATTACACAGGGAGACCCAGGCACTGGTAGAATAATCCCTACTGTCCATGCAGGTCACTGTGCCGCAACAGTCAGGTTCATATTATTTTCATATTATGTTTACCAGCAATGCTTTTGGGCTGAAGTGTGGCTCAGTGGGTGACGTCACCATTGGGCCCTTGAGTGAGGCCCTTAACCCTCAGTTGCTCCAGGGACTGATTGACCCTGCTTTCTGAGAATATGTGTCGATTTGGATAAAAATGTCTGCTAAATAGGTTAAATGTAGAAGATGTCAGTGCTGGTGCATTATGTTCCTCCGCGGTGCTGGACTGGACTCTGCAGTCCCTGGCCCTGTTGCTGAATGGGGCATACAGGCTGGTACAGCTGCTGACTGCGCACTGGGCAGCTGGAGAGAGGAATGAGATCTATGGAAGAATCTCTGCTGTCTGATCCAGCCTTGCCTTCCATAGTAAACGGCTATATGCTCTCTCTCCTAAGTGGCATCATCCCAGACACGACCATCAATGTCATCTTGAAGGTACATTATTCCTGGTCTGTTATTCCAGTTTAATTTTGTGTGCTCACATAGTTTTTCCGTCGTGTATGCATCGTTGCTGACCACTGAGTGTTTTTAAACATATTATTTTCACTTCAATGTGGTTCTCAAAGACAGGGATCCCCTCATTATCACAGATTTTTGTGAAGGGGAGAGGTAGGAATGGGAAGGGAAGCTGGGCAGGTGTGTAAAGGGAGATGGGCATGTGGGTGGAAGGAGGAATGGAGGGATTCATCGGCTGATAGGAAGGGATTCCATTCCAAACCCGCAGCCTGATTCCACGGCAGCAGCTGCACTAAAGATTCCTTACTGGAATATCTGTGGCGTATTCCGTGGATGAAGGGACTCTCAGACGGGAAGGTCTTTACTGTTTATTCACCATGAAAGCTTCAGACCAGATTGCAATAAGATCCATTTTCTCTTGTCCAGGAATATGAATTCTTGTATTATTAGTATTTGATTAAGATGATTTTTACTTTTAGCAGATGATCATGAGCTTTTATTGTCATCAAAGACTATAATTAGGACGACAATGCAATCAACAGGATTGAACATTAAGCTGCTAACTTGCTCCCTGTGTTTAAGAAGGCTATTGCTTTTACACTAAAACGTGCAATAAGTTTTATTAATTCCTTCAGTTTTTCTCTATCCGTCCGATCTGTGCTTTAGCCACAATGTTGGGTTCTCTGGAAAATTTTTTATGGGGACTGCAGAAGATAAGCTGTGAACTACAGGGAAAATGCATAGAGAATCTGACTTCTCAGGTCAGAGAAACAGGCCCACAAATTGTTAAAAAACAAAGCTGTGCATTAGGCCACTTATTGCAGTTTGATAAGGATTTGCTAATTTACTGCTAATTCAACATAAAAGGGCTGCTTAGATACAAATGGAGAGCAGCTGCACATTGAATGTTAATGTAGGGAAGCTATTTTAGAGAAAGTGAAGGACTGAAACAGGAAGTGAAAATGTCTGCTTTCTTATACCTCTGTAAGTCAGGGTAGGTGTGTGGCACAGCAGGTTAGGATGCAGTGCCTTTAATCGGAAGGTTGCTGGTTTGAATCCCACAGTTAGCTGAAAGGTTTAACCATCAGACCCTTAAATAACCCTTGATGATAGTGGGGACTGTCTGACTCTACTGTCTCAAAAATGCTGCTTTGGATAAAACCTCCCAGTAAGTGAAAGATATAGTCTGATCCATGCATTTTTTTTGCTTCTTTTTGTCCTGTGCCATGATTGAATGTGCTTGTCAGAGATGCAGGTAAATTGTGAGCTGTAGTGAATGACGTATGTCTATCCATCTTCTAGCTGCTTATTTTGGTCGGGGTCACTTGGAGCCAGTCCCTGGCTGCACGGGGCATTAGGTTGGGGTACAACCTGGACTGAATGCCAGTGCATCACAGGGCACGGGGCTGGGGTACAACCTGGACTGGATGCCAGTGCATCACAGGGCACAGGGCTGGGGTACAACCTGGACTGAATGCCAGTGCATCATAGGGCACGGGGCTGGGGTACAACCTGAACTGGATGCCAGTGCACAGGGCACGGGGCTGGGGTACAACCTGGACTGGATGCCAGTGCATCACAGGGAACATGCACATACAAAACAGGCAGTTTAAGGACATCAGTTAGCTTACTGCTTGTCTTTGGAGAACTACTGCAAAACACAGAGTGAATATTGTGCAAGTTACACTCTCAGACAGGAGGTGGGATTTAAAACACCAACCGTAGAGACAGGAGCAAACACGTTACATAGTAAGCCACAAGAACAATTGCGCAGCACTTTATTAATAGCCTGTGCTCTGCTTTCAGTGAATTTCAGGTGATTAAAAGAATGAGGAGTGTTTTTACCGTTAGGCCCGTCTCCGCGTGAAAGCCCACGGCGGCCATCATCATGCCTCTGCAGCGATCTGGGGTGCCTCAGTGATGTAGGACGCCCTTTCTGCAACATGGCCTAACTTAGAATTGACCTGTTGTAACGGTGTGACTGTAAAATTGCATCCTGCTCACATATCATGTGTTTGGAAATATGAGAATATATTTGGCATTTGGTCATTTGGCAGTTTGGTGGTGTTCTGACTGCAATTCGCCCTGGCATGCTGTCAATCAACTTCTGGGCCAAATCCTGACTGAGGGCAGCCCCTTCTTGCATAATCAATGCTTGGAGTTTGTCACAATTTGTGGGTATTTGTTTGTCCACCCCCCTCTTGAGGATTGACCACAAGTTCTCAATGGGATTAAGGTCTGGGGAGTTTCCTGGCCATGGACCCAAAATGTTGATGTTTTGTTCCCCGAGCCACTTAGTTATCACTGTTGCCTTATGGCACGGTGCCTCATCATCCTGGAAAAGGCATTGTTCATCACCAAACTGTTCTTGGATGGTTGGGAGAAGTTGCTCTCGGAGGATGTTTTGGTACCATTCTTTATTCATGGCTGAGTTCTTAGGCAAAATTGTGAGTGAGCCCACTGAGTTTGGCTGAGAAGCAGCCCCACACATGAATGGTCTCAGGGTGCTTTGTTGGCATGACACAGGACTGATGGTAGCTCTCACCTTTTCTTCTCCGGACAATCTTCTTTCCAGATGCCCCAAACAATCGGAAAGGGGATTCATCAGAGAGAATGACTTTACCCCAGTTCTCAGCAGTCCAATCCCTGTACCTTTTGCAGAATATCAGTCTGTCCCTGATGTTTTTCTTGGAGAGAAGTGGCTTCTTTGCTGCCCTTCTTGACAGCAGGCCATCCTCCAAAAGTCTTCGCCTCACTGTGCATGCAGATGCACTCACACCGGCCTGCTGCCATTCCTGAGGGAGCTCTGCACTGGTGGTGCCCCGATTCCGCAGCTGAATCAACTTTAGGAGGCGGTCCTGGTGCTTGCTGGACTTTCTTGGGCTCCTGAAGCCTTCTTCACAACAATTGAATCTCTCTCCTTGACGTTCTTGATGATCCGATAAATGGTTGATTTAGGTGCAATCTTACTAGCAGCAATATCCTTACCTGTGAAGCCCTTTTTGTGCAAAGCAGTGATGACTGCACGTGTTTCCTTGCAGGTAAACATGGTTAACAGAGGAAGAACAATGATTTCAAGCACCACCCTCCTTTTAAAGCATCCAGTCTGATATTCTAACTCAGTCAGCTTGACAGAGTGACCTCCAGCCTTGTCCTCATCAACACTGTCACCTGTGTTAATGAGAGAATCACTGAAATGATGTCAGCAGGTCTTTTTGTGGCAGGGCTGAAATGCAGTGGAAATAGGTTTTTTGGAATTAAATGGGTTACACTTTAGTTGAAGCAGTCTACATAAGGGTGACATGTAACCGTCATAAGAATGACTTGACACATGTCATGCACATTAATGACACATTATTGATGTTTATGACTGTTGTCATAATGTGTCATTCAGTTCCAAAAACCGAATGACACATTATGACAACAGTGATGTTTATGACAACAGTAGTTATGTAGACTGCTTCAAGTAAAGTGTTACCATTAATTGCAATTCATCTGATAACTCTTCATTACATTCTGGAGTATATGCAAATTGCCGTCATAAAAACTGAGGCAGCAGACTTTACAAAAATCAATATTTGTGTCATTCTCAAGACTTTTGGCCACGACTGTATGTGTTAGTGCATTTTAAATTTATGAATTTATGTCCCTTTACAGTAGATGGATTTACCATCTTAAAAATGAGAACCCATTAAATGTAACTGTCAGTAAGAACACGTTTTATGCTCATGAAAGGTTTAGGAAAACCTCACCCCTGATAGGAGGCATTAGGGGGGTAAATCATTCATAGTCTATCATACTATCATATGTCGCTTTTTTCCCTGTGGTCCTGAGTTGAAATGACAGGGTTGAGAGTGTTAACACAATGAAATGATGTTTCCTTCCCTGTGTACCAGTGCTTTGTATGTTTCCACATGGCTGTATTTCATGACCTTCTGTGAGCTTCACTTTCACATGGAAAACTTGAAAAATCTGACAGGATGAGCACACAATCTTGCTGGCAGAACCTGGGAAGTTTATGAATGCATTCATGTTCGTCTAGTATTCTATCCAGTATTTTATCATAGAAAATCAGTAACAGATTACCATCAAGAACATGTGATCCCTACAATAAGTGTTTATTTATTTCATTGAATGATGCATTACCTGGAGTTACAAAGGAAATGGTGCATAGTGTCAAGTAATCAGCTTTGTGTTCTTCTCATGTGTGCATGGCTACCAGTACTAAATGATCCCCCCCCCCCTCCAGCTGTGTCCAATCTAGATGTGGAGAGCAAGCTCACAGTTCACTACCAGGCCCCGAGGCACCTGCAGCGCAACGTGTTACACGCATCCGGCCGGCCGCCATGCGTGCAGGAGCTGCACAGGAACGCCAGGCTGCTGCTGAGGGCTCTCCATCGAGGTGAGGTCACAGAGAAGACGCTGCTCTTCCGCTCTCAGCATGTCCCTTAACCCTGTGCCCCATTTTGACAAGCAATGGAAGGTACCGATTGGAGACGTAACGCTTCCAAACCCAATGTGGGCGGGGTTTCTGTGATCTGTCAATTACTGTCCATTTTACCCCAATAAAAACCAGTACCGTAACCAGTGGGGAACTGGTTAAATCAGCCTGTCACTGAAAGCACATGGTAATCCCAAATGTAATTTTTTTATATGGATCATTATTGAATTGTTATTGGCTTAAATGGGACACAAATAAAATGGCACTATTGTTATTTTAGCGTTAAATTACTTGCACAGATCTGTTTCACAGAAACATTTATGAGTAATGACCTTTCATTAGCTAAATATTGCGTTTATCACCGTGTTTGTCGTTTAAGAAAAATGCAAAATAAACAAGATTCTGTGATATTAAAACCAGTATAGTCATTTAAGATATCTTAGTGGTAAGTAGAAAATGCAAATATTTTGTTTTTTATTTAGTACCCAGTAATCGTATTTTTCATAGGATCTGTTTACGCTTTTGCATGGTGCACCATGCAAAGAGTAAAGTAAAGAGTGCCCCCTAGTGTACTAGAGGGGGAAAAGCTGATTGTACCGTCTCTGAGGCAATGCAGAAGTAGCCTCACCGTGAGCTGTGTCTGTGCGACAGATCAACAGCTACATCAGAGGGCCGGGAACCAAGAGCGAAGGGTGACCATATCCATCTCAGTACCCCCCCCGATGCCCAGCATCCCCTCGCCGCGCACCCTGAGGCGGCGGGAGCAGAGGGGCAGGCACCTCCGCACGGTGAGAACATTGTCCTGAGACTGATGCACGAATAAAGTGACTTATATCTACTGCCTGTTTATTGGCTGTGCACTTCTGTTAAAATGCAGCAGGGGAGACCAGGGAGAGATTTTGAATATCAGCACGTTCTGAGGAAGGTAAACCATCAAAAATGCGTCAGTCCAGCATGGTCTGTCTTTTTGTATGTCGTGTTTTCACTCCTTCACATCTTCATTTTGGTAAAGAATTAAGAAATGTTTTACTTCAAAATATGTACAGTTGATAAAGCAGGTTTTGGAAGCAACCCAGTTTTCATCCACAGTGTTTTGGGAACACCGATTTCCATTGTCCTAAAAAATGAGGCCTACCCGAGACAAGTAACTTGGTGATAGATTGTGGTTTGTGAATTAAAAAGTAAAGTGCCACGACTGGATTTGCTAGTGATGCTATATAATAAAATAAATGTGTCATATTTGTTAATTTGCTCTTATTAAAATATTCACAATCAAAAGATGATAATATCACATTGATTTACCGCGGTGATTATCCTGGCTGGCACTAAGTGTGCGGTTATCACCCTTCTGACCAATCAGATTTGAGTATTCAACAGCACCATAGTATAAAGTTTAATTTGTTCTTATTAAAATAATCACAAACTATTAAAACACTGCTGATGATATATTGTGCCTAAGGCTAATTGAGCAGTGACAGGGTAATGATTAATTATTGAATGGTGCTGTTTTGCATGACATGAGACAAATTTGCTGCAAAGATCTCATGAGGTTGTTAAAAAATGTATTGACTAGCTTGAGGCTTGAGAGGACGATGAACTCACTGTGAATCTGTCTTGAAATATCCTAACATAGGAGAGACCAGTGAGAGAGTCAGAAATTCAGCCAGCACAGAGGAAGGTAACTGTGCGAGTTTGGCGGTCACCTGATTTATCCCCAGTCTATGTTGTATGAGTGAATCATGCATTCAGTGGAATCAGCAGGGCATGATGGGTAATCAGTGTTTTTTGATGTTGTATGTTTTCAAAAGAGATTTAAATTTATGATTAAACCATTCATTGTTTTCCTTGCGCACTTCTAGCTGTTAATGTTTAATTTGCATTTACCATTAGTGCAGTTTTTCGCAACGACCGTTTACTGCCTGCAATTAAAAAAAAAAACATATCAAGCATTTTTTTGATGGGGCATGACTCCTCATAATAGCAGCGGCTGTTCTTGAAACGGATGTTGATTTATTTGTTTGTCCATCTTTCATAGCAGAACAAACACACATTTGTGACGTATTTTTGGCTTGTGGCAGTTTTACTTACACAAAAATATTCTGAGGGTCGAACGAAAAATGATTGGTTCAGAGAAATAATCAATCAGATTTTAGAGCTGTGTCCAAGCAACTGGTGAAGGCAGGACCAAGGCATCTGCTTGGTCGGACCCACCTCCTCTACAATCTTATACCTTGTCTCTCTGAACCTATCATTTTTCGTTCTGCCCTCAGAACATTTTTTTGTATGTAATACTCCTTTGAGTGTATTTTTGTGTCCTGTGTTCATATGTAACACGGCCTCGTATTCGTGTGGACCTGACAGGCTGTGTTTACATGTAACACGGCCTCATGTATTCGTGTGGACCTGACAGTCTGTGTTCATATGTAACACGGCCTCATGTATTCATGTGGACCTGACAGTCTGTGTTCATATGTAACACGGCCTCATGTATTCATGTGGACCTGACAGTCTGTGTTCATA